ATGAAAACATCATTTGATTGGCTGTACTATATAAATAAATTTATTTAATTGACTTATTAAATTTTGATGTATTTACTGGAGAACTTATCTGAAAGTTAAAACATAATTTGTTTGGGTAGCATTTTGCCCCAGAATGCTTAGAGCATCTTCATTATGCTTAACCAGCAACACAGTAAACCTATTCTTCTGGTCATAAGTTGATTCTCTTAGAATAATGAGTTTAACTAAAAGTGAGATAACTCAAATGAAAAATATATATGTAGTCTGATATTCATATATTTAGGAATGGTAATCTCAATCATGTTTTTCAGCTAAGACGGTGACGCTTTGCCACACTCACTGTTCTGGTTACCTAGTGCCGCTCTGACAAGAATATAGCACAAATGGGATGGCCTTAAAAAACAGGAGTTTATTCTTAAAATTTGGAGGCTTTAACTCCAAGTTCAAAGTGCCAAGCTCTAGGGGCTGGGTGAAAGCCCCTCAACCTTGGAGTCCAGCTCTGCCTCCTGCCTCTGGCCCACTGGAGCTAGAGGCATTTCTTCACTCAAACAGCTGCTGGCTGCTGAGGCTGAAGCCCCAAGGCTGACAAGTAAAAAGGCATAGTCCTGATGTTACCAATCCACACAACAGGCCATTAACTTAAGTCCGCTGTAAGTCCCAAGGTCGACAGAGCATAGCAGGCTGCTGAGCAATGACACGGGTACATGCAGGGTCCAAGCGTGCCATAGGCTAGAGACCATTCTCAAAGCTTCTCCATATATACAGGAAGCAGACCACATCCCAAAGGTAGTTACTCAGCTGCTTGTGGTAGATTCCACCATGGATTTGATTACCAGTCTCATCATGGGGAATAACTACCACCAGCTGCCCAGCCACTCAACCAGGCCCAGCCAAGTTGACACACAAACATAACCATCACACTCACTGAAGTTAAAACCTGTACTCATACACCCTACAATTGTTAGTCTCTTTAGTAATCAGATGATACTTAGTTTTTTATGATCTCAATAATGTATTCATGTAATTGCATAGTTCCATTCATACACAGTAGCTTCCATGTGGCAGGATGTATCGCAAAGTGAGTAAGAGTAATTCTGAGAAGAAAATGACTAGTTGCTTCATGTCACGGGGTGAAGAGCCTGGAGAACCAGGCTCCTGAGAGGTCAGCCTTCCTCTGGTACCCTTAGGCTACTTTCACATGTGACTGATCTCCCTCAGTTCGTCCATATTCCTTGGGCTTACTCTGACCCAGAAGGTGCTACGTTGATTCATACTGATCTCAACCTTGGCATTAATCATAAGTTGATTTCTTTAGGATTGAGTACTATGTAGGATTGTACAGAATGAACACACTGTGTTATTTTTTAATCACTCTCATGGCTTGGTTTGGAAAGGATTTCTTCCTCTTTCTTTTAATTGTCTTTGTCCAGTACACCCTTAGAGGATATGTTGCATGTAGATAGAGCTGAGCATTCAGTTGAATAGGAATTTTAGTTCCTGATTGTGGGAATACAATCAGTCAAGAAGTTTGAAATATGGTTTAAACTCAGAGGGATCCAGTCTTGGAGATCTCAAATATACTCTCCTCAGTCTCCTAAGTAGTCTAGGTAGCATTTTCCAGATAAGAATTTGCTTCAGAATCCTCTGGAAACTCTTATAAAAACTGTAGGTCTCAGGTCGTACTTAATCCTTCAACAACAGTTGAAGTCTTTCAAGCTGCAAAACTTACAATGGAAGAACAGCTGGAAACTATTTATTTATTCATCCATTCATTCTTTCAACAAATATTTTTGAATAGAAAAGGGACATACATATATTTCTAGCTGTGTGCTAGGTGCTAAAGATCCAGTTTAAAATAGAAATGGGGTTTCCCTTTAGCAAATTATGTTGTTGTTTGCCGTCGAGTCGGCCCCGACTCATAGCGACCCCTCCTTGGGTTTCCGAGGCAGTATCACTACGGAAGTAGGATTGCCCAACAAATTATAGTTGGTGGGAATTAAGTGGGGTAGGTGAATGGGTAAAGAAAAGTGCCATAGTGCAGAGTGAGGAGCATTTAACTCTGCTTATGAGGCTCAAGGGTGGTGGCTGGACGTAGGAGTGTGCTAGGCAGAGAAGGGCATTCAGTGTAGACAATGGCCTATATGGAGATACGAGAGAAGATGGCTTATGCTAGCAAATGCAGGTTGTTCCGTGTGTGTATGAGAAATGAGAAGATGTGAAGTAAAGGTGGCTATAAGTGATAAAGAAAAAAAGCACAAGAAAAATTCCTGGAATTAAAGCCCATGAATTACAGTCTAAAAGGACTCTCCTAGTTATCCAGTGCTTCTGTAGCAGAAAAACCACAAGTGGATGGCTTTAACAATCAGAAACTTATTCTCATAGTTTAGGAGGCTGGAAGTCTAAATTCAGAGTGCTGGTTCTAGGGGGAAGTTCCTTGCCTCCTTTCAACATCTGTGGGCCCAGTGTCCATGTGTCTTGACATCAGTCTTGCCCTGAGTTTAAGAGGTTCTCAGTGCAGGGACTCCGGGTCTACTGGACGTGTTCTGCTCCTGGCTCTTGTTAGTAGTCAGGTCCTTCCCTCTCTGCTCATTTCTCTCTCCTTTTATTTCTTTTGAGATAAAAGGTGATGCAGGCCATACCCCAGGGAAGCTCCCCTTACATGGGATCAGGGCTGTGACTTGGTTAAAGGTGTTGCATCCCACCTCTTCCCCTCACAGCTGATTGGCTGATCATAACAGATCCCATGATGGGGGTTGATTACATCATTACATAACTACGAAATTACATCTTTACATAACTGCCAAACCACTGAGAAACATGTCCCAGCCAAGTTGGTATTCTTGGAGGACAAAATCTAGTACATGACAGCTACCAACCAAAAAGTGGGCAATTTGAACCCACCAGTGGCTCTACCAGAGAAAAGACAAGGCTATCTGCTCCCGTAAATATTTACAGCCTAGGAAACCCTGTGAGGCAGTTCTGTTCTGTCCTAGAGGGTTGCTAAAAGTTGGAATGGACTCAGTGACACACAACTTTTATTCTAAAGTATCTGAACTTTGGAGGATAGGCAAACAACTCTTCCTCTCTCTCTTGCCTTCTAGAGCAGGGTTCAACTTCACATAAAAAAATCAGTATTCATCAGTGGCCAAAAATGGGATTGCTTGTCAGCTGCACTTAAGATCTCTGAGCAGACTGTACATCACCCAACAAAGCCTGGAGTTGTTTATGGAGAAGCTTCATCCATTTATATAGATAGAAATTATCTCTGCCCTCATTTTTATTTTGAAAAGTCAAAACTCACAGAAAAGTGGAAAGAACAGTAAAATGCCCATAAACCTTTCACCTAGATTCAGTTGTTAATTTCTGTCACATTTGCTTTCTCTCTCTCTGTCTATATGAATACACTTTTCTTTGGAGGGGGCACTGAGCCATTTTAAAGTAGTAAGTTGTAGATAGCATGCTTTAGTACTTCTGCATACATCTCCCAAGAACAAGGACAGTCTCCTACATAACCAAAATATCATTATTTTCTATGTTGCTCTTGTTGTTAGGTGCCATTGAGCCATCTCCGGCTCATAGCGACCTTATGCGTAGCAGAATGAAACATTCCCCTTTTTCGCTGACCCTCCACTTTACCAAGCATGATATCCTTCTCCAGGGAATGGTTCCTTCTGACAGCGTGACCAAAGTAGATGAGACGAAATCTGGCTGTTCTCGCTTCCAAGGAGCATTCCAACTGTACTATTATGTACTATCTATTATTTACTATGGATAAAATAATATTATATAATGTATAGTTAATATTTCCCTACAATCTCAATAATAGCTGCTAGAGCTTTTTTTTTTTTAAAGTCCAGAATCCAGTCAAGGATCATACATTACATTTAGTGATCATATTTCTTTAAGTCTCTTTTCTGCTAGAAGTTTCTCTTTTTTTTTTTTTTAAATCTTTCATAACATTGACAATTATGGAGTGCTGAGGCTGGTTTTGTAGAATGTTCTACATATGGATTTTGTGTTTTTGCCCTTATTGTAAAATTTTGTTTACAATGGTGGTGAGAATATGTGTACAAACTTTGATCTACCAGTTTTCAGATTTTTTTTTAGGTGCAGTTTTAGCCCATTATTTATTTATTGATTTTGTATGTATGTATGTTTTTTTCCTGCTAACCTATGTTTAGCACAGAGTATCAAGAAAATGATGATTTACCTGGAGAACAGCAAATCTCTTTAGATCACAGAAAATATCATCATTGCAATAATCTCTAGGAGGGGTAATCTGTTCCTCTGGAAACAAGCATAATATTTCTTAAAAAACATTCTTGGCAGTGTACTTTGGATGATTTAATACATTGTAATGAAGGACAAATTTTCTACTCTTTAATTAAATTCTGCTACAGTATACAGCCCAGGGCATCACTTCTGGAAAACACTTGGAAGGTTTTTCTATTACCCCGAAGCTGAAAGTTTGTTTTTGGAGTCTAAATGCTGAATGTGCGTTCAGTTTGCAGCATTTTGGCAGTCCTTGTGCCAGGACTTTGGGTTGCTTAGGTTATGTATATTTTGTGTGAAGTGAGCACAACGTGGAGAGATGGCATGCCTCAGATGCCAGAAGGGCTATGCAAGCTTGCTGTTGAAAGCATGCTTCCCGTTTGTCAGGGCTTCGTGATAGGAGACCTGGTGACACAGTAGCCTTTACGCAGAGCTCCTCGGGATGTGCAGGAAGTGCTGTTCTGGTTTTGTTAGGGGGGAAATCTGAGCCATTTCTCTGTGGACAGCTGCATTTCAAAGTCTGGACAATTTGCTGTTGGATTTTGCATGGGCTGCCAGGGTGAGTGTTTTCATTTTGATTTGTTTATAGTCTTGCTTTTCTTCATCTTAAGTCAGCACGGTTCTTTGTGGAAGTTTCAGAGGACTTGTTACATGCATTATTGAAAGTGGGATTCCAAGGATTCGTTCTAATATGATATTGGTAATTTGGCTTTTCTTTTTCTCTACAGATTTTGTGGAAGTATAATACTTTGTCATTATGAGATGTCGTCTCTCAGTCCCTCCTTTGTGCAAATTAAATTTGATGACTTGCAGTTTTTTGAAAACTGCGGTGGAGGAAGTTTTGGGAGTGTCTATCGAGCCAAATGGATATCACAGGACAAGGAGGTGGCTGTAAAGAAGCTACTGAAAATAGAGAAAGAGGTAAGGTCTTTTCCTGCCATTAGAAATGGTTGCAATAGCACTTATATAAGCATTTCCAACCTAGAATTAGAGGGTCACAGGGCTGAAAGGGACGTAGCAAAGCCTTTGGGGCAGATCCATGAGGCTGTTTCCCAACTTCCATTCTGGGAGCCCCATAAATAGAAATTATTGCCGCATGTGCTTTAGGGTTGAGTGCTACTAGGGGTCATCTGAACTGAGAGGATTTCTTTCCATGGTGTGAAAGACCGAATGTTCTCTGAACTCTCCTAGAGGTCGAGGTGAGATTTCAGACCTTTCCAGGGCTTAGGCTCTTCTTTTCCTTAGGTCAGCCAAGAGGGGTCAGTAGAGAGTAAAGTGTAAAGTGTTCATCAGCTTTCCTTGCCTTTAATTGGTGGTCATCAGGAGTTGTCTTAGAAAAAAGATAAAAGAAGCAACATTTTTTTGTTTTCTAACTGAAAAAAGCAATACGAGTTTGGGGATTTTCCCTCTACTTGAGGCTAACCATGATGATAAGCTTAGTTTAATAAAGAGATAAAGGTGCTACACAGAGGGCTTCCTTACTCTTTCAGTCAGAAGAAGGTTTTCTGGAGCCTGGTATTTGTGCTGGTCCTAGACCAGTTTAAAATTCTCATCTTTTGCAGTAATGTGACACAATACAGCCCTCATGTTCGTTTTGGTACTGTGAGAATAAAACTAATTGTGGAGCTGACCTGTAGGGGCTCAGAGTGATAACTTTTAATAGCTGCCCTCTGGAGCTTGTTTTGGTCATTTCTATTTATGGCTTATTTTGGCTAATTGTTGTTCTTTTCAATATCTTTTTAAAGTGAACTTTCCCATAAATATCCTTTAATCTCCCTGACTGATTTCATTAACTGTTGCCAGTGAACCGTAGCAATTGATTAGAGAAGAAAACCCAAATGGTAGCACTTTGCATTACTTCTCAGCAGTGCTGCGTGATCACCGGCTGTATTTCATGGTTGAAGCCAGGCCAGAAGGACTAAGATACCTCTCCCTTGGGGTGTTGGTAGGTTTTTAGAAATCATTAACAAGTAAGACCTTTTAAAGCCAATGTGTGCATGGAACAAAAGGCTACTATAGAAAAGTTTGTTTTCCCTCCCATTTTTTGATGAAAAAAAAAATGTTTGAATAGTGGCCAAGTAATGAAACCATTTCTTATTCTGAACTGAACCTCGCTTCTTTGATCTAGTGAACTCTTAAATCCTTTGTAGGCAAGTATTATTAACCCTATTTTATACACTGGGAAATAGAGCTCTGAGAGATTTATTGTTTCTCCTGGAAAGACAGGTGAAATCCAGAAAGCTAGACCCCTTATCCTTTGGTTTTTAATTCTGAAACCTTTAGTTTACCAGGCAAGAATAGAAAATAACCAGTTCCATCAAATTTCTGTTCAAAGTGAAATATGAGTATGCAATATTTTAAAGCATTTGGTCATGCAACTTTAGTGTAATAAACGTGTACTTATATGATTGTTGGAGGTGAGACTTTGAGATGAGAGATAGACTTTGGCAGGAAACTATAAATTTCAACCCATTTATTCTTCACCCCAGGCCCCAATGCATAATACTTTGTGGTTAACATTCAGCTGCTAACCAAAAGGTTGGTAGTTTGAACCTACCCAGGTGCACCACAGGGTAGGAGAAAGACCTAGTGATCTGCTTCCATAAAGATTACAGCCAAGAAAACCCAGTGGAGCAGTTCTACCTTGTCAAATGGGGTTACTGTAAATTAAAAATCAACTCAGCGGCACACAACAACAGCAGTATTGTTGAGAGAAACAGGAAAATGAAATAGGAAAGCACAGGAGTGAAAGCAGGACTTAGAGCTGCCAACCTCTGATGTAGTGTAGGTATTTAACCTGAGTGTGTATAGTTTAGAAATTGAGTTGATTATAGTAAACTGTAGGAACATAACTCATAAACTTACAAGTGGTAAAAACAGAAACTCATTTTCAGCTTTGGGCTGGTGACTCCATGTGTGCTGTGACCTCTTGGAAGCAGACTACCAGGGCTTTCTTGTGAGGCACTTCCAGGCGGGTTTGAACTGCCAACTTTTTTGGTTAATAGTCAAGCACTTAACCAATTGTACCACCCAGGCACCTAGAGAGAAGTGGTAAATTATCCCTAGACTTACTGAATCAACACAAGTTTGAGATATGAAAATATTTGATTAGGCGTTGTTGTTGTTGTTGTTATTTGCCATCGAGTCGGCCCCAACTCCTAGCGACCCCTCCTTGGGTTTCTGAGGCAGTTATCACTACGGAAGTAGGAATGCCCAACCTTCCTTCCGAGAAGTGGCTGGTGGGTTTGAACCGCCAGCCTCCTGGTTAGCAGTCAAGTGCCTTAGGCACTATGCTACCAGAGCTCCTTGGTTAGGGGTTAGCAGTTATTAAAAAGGAAATATACATTTCTTGTGTAAATTATTCTTATGCTTTATGAGATAATGTATTGATTTGCTGGCTAGGTGTTTTCTCAGTGATCTCGATTTCTTTTCCAATTTATAGATTCACTCCCATTCACTTGGTTATTTTTACCAATGAATTTTAGAAGTAGTGAAACATTTAATAAAATATTGTAGCTTACTGTTTTTTTTATGCAAATAATGTGTATGTTGTACAATTTTTTGCAAACCATGCAACTCCCTTGCACATTAATTTCGTATGAGTGCTACTTACATGTATATGTGTGTGCATTATTTACTTGGGTGTATTGTATGCAAAAAATACAGTACTTTTGTGACTCTTTAATAATGACTTGGTATCTGACTTTATTTATATATATGTATATATAAAATTAACTTAGAGAAAGGTGGAAGAAATATGTTCCAAGCTCTTTAACATTGCTTTTGTGAGAGGGTAGAATAGTTTCACTTCATTTGGTTTATTTTACTTTTGGTTTTTATTTGTGCACCTTTAGTTTAGTATGTGTTGCTTTCCCGTGTTTGTGAGTATATATTACTTTACTCAAGGAGCTCTGGTGGCGCAGTGCCTAAGGCACTCAACTGCAAACCAGAAAAGAAGGTTGGCAGTTCAAACCCACCAACCATCCATGGAAGAAAGATGGGAGCAATCTACTTCCGTTAAAATTTACTGCCTTGGAAACCCAATTGGGGTCGCTGTGAGTCAGAGTCAACTTGATAGCAGTGAGTTTGGTTTGTTCTTTTAGTATTACTTTCCTCATTTTAAAAAATGGCATTTACTTAAAATTTCAGTAGCTCTTTAGACCTTCTTTCTTGTTGTTAGGTGCCACTGAGTTGATTTTTGACTCCTAGCAAGTCTACATGACAGAGTAGAACTACTCTACAGGGTTTTCTAGGCCATAATCTTTACAGGAGCAGACAGATCTCCAGGTCCTTCTCATGCTGTGCCACCAGGTGGGTTCAAACCACCAACCTTTCAGTTAGCAGCTGAGTGCTTAACCATTGTGCTACCAAGGCTCCTTTAGATTTTTTAAAAATTTTTTTCTCTTCCCACTTCCTCCCCATAGTTACCTCTTCCCTGTGTCCTTCCTGTCCATGCACTCCCACTTCCCAGAGCTATCTCCCTGTGTGAACCCTGCCCTTCTGTTCTCTCATGATTGATCTTCCTCAGGAGTGTATCTGCCTGATGTAAATTTTCACCCCATATACCTGTCTGTTGTTTGACTGGAAGTCACAGGAGTGAGTTCAGTTCCAGACCTGAATAGTAGCTATGAGCCATAGTCTCAGGGGTCTCACCAGGCTCTATTAGACCAGCAAACCTGGTTTTTTTTTATGATTTTGAGTTTTGTTCTACATTGTTCTCCCACTCTATCCAGGACCTCCTGCACCAATCTCCCTCCTCGTGGTTGATGGTAGTAGCCAGGCACCATCTAGTTCTTGTAGTCTCATGGTCTTATAGGCTGAGGATCGCATGGTCTACTAGTCCCTTGGACTAATTGTTTCCATGCGTCTTTGGTTTTCTTCATTCTTCTTTGTTCTGGACAAGGAAAGACCCTTTGTTGCATCTGGATGGCTGCTTGCAAGCTTTTAAGACCCCAGTTGTTACTCACCAAAATAGGATGTAGAACAGTGTTTTTGTGTGGTATTTTATGATAGCTGAGCTAATGTCTCCTGCAACAATGGTCCCGAGTCCATAGGTCCAACTACTTGCTCTCTCAGGGTAGCTGGCTGTGACCAAGAAGCCACCACAGCCTTGTCCCTTGTCAGCTCTACTGTACATCTGAACATTCTTATAGCAGATACAAATATGCATGTAGAAATAGATTTTTGTTTTTTAAAACATTTCAATGTTGAGAATAATTATAAGACTAGTACCATGAACTCTAGTCTATCCTTCTGATAGACCAGTTATTAACATTTTATAACATTTGCTTTCTCTGTATGTTGTTGTTGGTATGTGCTATCGAGTCGGACCCGACTCATAGCGACCCCTCCTTGGGTTTCCGATGCAGTATCACTACGGAAGTAGATTGCCCAACCTTCCTTCTGAGGAGTGGCTGGTGGGTTTGAACCGCCAGCCTTCTGGTTAGCCGTCAAGTGCCTTAGGCACTATGCTACCAGAACTCTTACCCCTGGTAACTGCTAATAATCTTTGGTTTCTATATCCTATATAATCAGAAAAAATGCAATTAAAAAATTATAACGCTGACGATCTATGTTCTAAGACATTCAAGTAGATTGAGTTTTATAAATATCTTTAGTATATCACAGATCACTAATTTTGCAGCCTCAGTCTATGCCTCTGAATGTTGACTTTTACATTGTTTTTTTTCTCAGTGGTAATTTAGCTTGTTTACATTATTTGCAGATTTGTTTCTAGTACCCTACTGCTAAAACGGCAAGGAGGCCACATGTTCTGACCTCCTCTAACCCTACAAGGGGAAGGCAGGATTACCAGCAGTAACCCAAGGCCTATTACTGCAAGGCCAGACATGCTGCCTCCCTCCAGCCCTTTCACCAACCGTTCCTCCCAAAGC